CTTAATTGGTAGTAGGCTTTCGAGCCTATACAGCTTGGAGTAAGACAACATGCATGAAGAGGATGATGTGGACAAAATACTCATTTGCCTAATAATGCTGCACTCCCTGTATTTATTGCACAGGTTGGCTCGTTTGTATTAATACTAATCAGTAATTTTGACAAGCCCAGTAACCGGTCTGTTCAGTGAAATTAATTAGATAGAGGCTTAAAACTGCTGCAGGAGCAGGTGTGGCAGCAGTCTCACCTTGAGTATGACATTAATATTTGTACAGGGAAGGAACCGTAATTTTACTCAGCTGCTGTAGAGAAGTATATTTTAGCTCAAACCTTTCTGTTTTTTTTCTTTCATAAATTGAAATGAATATTTTGCACTTTGTATATTTTGCTATTAATATTAATAATATTAATATTAACTGTGGCAGGGGTGTGGTCTGCTGCAGTGGAGGCTCTAAGCAGTGGAGTGCTTAGAGCGGTGCCGAGGTGTGGCAGAGAGGGCAGGTATGAGAGCTTAATGTAATGATCTTCTTCTTCTCTGTGTATATATAGTGACGGCAGAGGCGGAGGAGGGGATGTGCTAGGCCAAAGCTCTTTGTAAAACTCTGCAGGAAAACCATCTGTACCTGGAGTTTTATTGTTTGGGAGATGCTGTAAATCTTCATGAACTCAGACATTAAAAAAGATGAATCCAGTGCCACTATTTTTTTGCCATTTAGTTTTGGTAGATTTATATTGTTGAGAAATTCTTTAATGGCAGCATCAGATGGATTAATATATAATGTGTATAAAGCTTGATAAAATTCTTTAACACATCTATTTATTTGTTGTGGATCATGAGTAATGTTCCAAGCTGAATTCTTTATTGAATAAAGAGTTGTTGTTTTCTTTGTATAGTTTTAACTAGTTAGCAAGGAATTTCCCAGATTTGTTGCCCTGTTCAAACTTTTTCAAATGCAGCCTTTGCACATGGAATTGTGTTTTCTTAGTAATTATTTAATTTTACTCCAGTTTTAGTTTTCTCAGGTTGTTGATTATATGTATATGAGGGTAGCAAAGGCAGCTTCTAATGACTTACTTGCTATTTACTTATTTATTACTTTCTTATTATTTCTTATAAGAACAGTAAGATATTATCCTCCCCCCAGCATTTCATAATACAGATGGACAGTGACCCAAAACACAGCCAAAGCAACCCAGAGGAACCCAGGCATCCCATACGACAAGGCTGGAAGTCTCTGGGGAAGAGTTGGTAGCAAAGTAAAAGCGTATCTCATCCTGGATAAACTTTACAAAATTTTCATCTGACAGGAGGGTCGAGTTGAAACGCCATTGTGCAGCTTTAACAGGAGGATGTGGAAGAGACAGAGACAAAGTAAGAGGGGCGTGAGCTGAAATAACTATGCTATGGTAGGCACAGGAGTGGACCTGCTGCTGACAATTAGTGTCAATGATAAAGTAATTAATTCTTGAATATGTATGGTGCACATGTGAAAAATAGGAGTAATCTCTTTTATGAGGATTTAGAGTACGCCAAACATCACACATTCCATATTCTGATAGAAAGGCATGAATGACAGATGCAGATTTGCTTAAAACATTACTCTTAGTGGATGAGCGATCCAGGGCTGGGCCTAACCAGCAGTTAAAATCACCCCCCAGAAAAAGAGAGTAGACATTTAAGTCGGGTAAAGAGGAGAATAGTTGTTTAAAGAAATTCTCGTCATCTGTATTAGGAGCATACACATTTACTAGGGCAACAAGACTGTTATACAGTTTCCCACTGACTATGACATATCTACCATATTTGTCTGCTATGACATTGTAGGCCTCAAAGGGAATGTTCTGCCTGACCAATATAGAGACCCCACGTTCCCTAGCTTGGAAAAGTGAGTGAAAACACTTGCCCCTCCAACAGGAGAAGAGACGGACATTATCAGAGGCCCTGACGTGGGTCTCCTGCAGGAAAGCCACGTCAGTGTTATGGTGTTTAACATGTGACAAAACCCTCCTTCTCTTGACTGGATGATTTAGACCTTTAACATTCCAGCTTAGAAAGTTCAATTGCAGACTCATCTGATTTGTAGAGCAAAGAAAATATGCACACTGGCCTTAGATGATAAGAACAGAATAACTTTACAGTGGGTGGAAATTAGTTCAGAACAGGTTAAAAAAAAAAGAACAGTGTATGAGGTTCATAGCAGTGACCCTTACCCTTCCCAAACCCTCCCCACAACAGAAAATGGCTGCCAAAAAAAAGAACAAGAACAAGCAGCGAGCTCTTCAAACTTAACATATTTAGAGTGTTACTCCTCCTGTCTATGATACCAATAACCTAGGTATTGAAGCAGTCGAACCACTGCTCCGGTGGCCATAGCATAGTAAGCTGAAACCCCTTATAATACTGTTAAGTTTTGAAACTGTATCAGCCACCAAGTCCAAATGTAATTGCTGGAGTGTTTCAAAGCAGAGTCCAAGTATGTAAACAAACAACCAAACACAAAAAAGATGATGTAGTTCAATAAGTACTACTGGTATAACTGAATTATTGAATAAGAACAGACAGAAGGCTACGAGTAGATAACAAAACTCCCCGTCTCCATGCAACAGGTATTACGTCATTAGCCAACGGGTAGAAGTCAATGAGGTTGTCTCCTTATTTATCAAAAAAAAAAAAAAAAAAGATTATCGAGTTAAATTAAAGTAATAATCAGCATTTCAGTACTATAGCATTCAGACTATATCACTACACTCGGAGGGGAAAAGCAACATCTTACGTGGATCCCGACTGCGCCTCTATACCTATATGGAATGTTTGGTACCTGCATTTGGTGCCATTGTTTTATTAGTAATAATTCTTCATGGGGCTTCCGGAGCCTTTGGGAGCCTCTCAATGTACTGTTGAGCCTGGTCCATCCACGGAGCTGAAAAACTTTCTGGCACCGCTGGCCTGCGTTATGCGAAGCTGTGCTGGGAAGAGGAGAGCCGGCCTCAGGCCTCGCCCATAGAGCTCCGACATAATGTCCTTGTACTGCGCCCGCTGATTGAGGACCTTGGGACTGTAGTCCTTCACAATTTGGATAGGCACGCCTCGGTAGTCGAATTTCCCCCTCCTCCTAGCTTCTCGGATGATGAGGTCCTTGATCTGGTATCGGTGCAGGCGGATGATCACCTGGCGAGGTGGGCGTCCCACGGGCGGCTTCGCTGCGAGGGAGCGGTGCGCTCTATCGAGCTCCGGTGGAGACTGAAGCATTTCTTTGCCCAATAACTCACAGAGAAGGTTGGAAAAGAAGTGAGTGGGGCACCCACTTTCAGTGTCTTCAGGCAGTCCAAGGATGCGGATGTTCTGACGCCTACTACGGCGCTCCAGGTCGGTGACTTTGTTCTTTAGCTGGTTGTTGTCTTCGCGAAGAGCGGCACACGTGTTTTCAAGGTCAGCGACACGTTGGCTCAGGTCTTCAGTTGCAAGCTCCAAGAATGAAACTCTCTCGGCCTGTTCCTCTTGGGCTTGTCGTACCTGGTCCAGTTTTGAATCGAGGGCGTTAATTGAGGTCTTAAATTCAGATGCCAACTCATCTCGGTGCTGCTGGAGCAGCATGGTGATAGCCTCCAGTGTTAAGCTAGCGTCCTCCTTTTTGTTCGCTTTTGCACTCTTAGAAGCCATTGGAAAGGGTTAAAATTGTTCAAAACCCTAGAAAAGTAGTTACGAGTGTAAGCGACTTAAAGGTGGCAGTTGAAGGGGTGAAACTGGTCAAAGCGGAGTTAAGTTCACCGGAGCAGTTTGTTCCTGCGTCTACTCTGGTCGCATGCTGACCGGAAGTCCTCCACTCCATTTACTTTAAATTTCACTGCACATCTGTCATTCATCTTTGCAGATGCCTTCGCACAACCTACCTCCTCCCCATCTCTGCCTCTCATTACTCAGACTTCAGGCTCCATTCAAGCCTCGATCTTCATCTCCATCACCAATGTCTAATCTCTGGGGGGTCCTGCCCTAATCCCTATCCCTGCTGGGATTCCGTTCTGCTGTGATGGGCCAACTGGGTCTAATCACCAAATACCTCAAATTGTATTCTGTACATCAACAAATCACGTTCAATTCCAGACCGCAGCTCTTTACCAGCTCTTTCTGTTTAAAATGTCCAGATTTGGGCACAATTGAGCCCTTCCCTGGTCCAGTTGCTTCCCTCCCAGACAATGGGTACGATAAAAGATGGTGGTCTTTATCGAGTTTCAGGTGAACCTGAATAAACTGTCTCACCATTGTTTCTGAGTCAAATTCTGCCTTCTCTGGGATGCCTGTCAATGCTGCAGGCCTGGAGCTCGATAACAGTTTCTTTGAGGTTTTAAAATTTTATTGTGAGAGTTGGGTCATTCCCTTTATGAGTGATGTCACTAACTGTAGGTCATGAGTTTTTGTCAGCAAGTGTTTTCACCTGCTGCGAACTGTACTCCATAGACTCTCGCAGAGTTTGAAACTCTATGTGAAGGAATTCCATTTAACAGGTTTGCAGAGCAAAACACAAACTGTTTGTGTGCAGTAAGTCACAGAGTGTGTCTACTACTGTAGCTAAAGGTACAGCTGCTGTAGGGAGAAAAGAACAAAAAGATAACTTCACTCACAGATGGAGAAAGTTGTAGGAAAGATAGGGCAAGACAGGAAGAAGAGAGGTTAGATTTAAAGGTAAGATGCTCATGGTCAGAGTTAGGTTACATCAAGTGGAGCAGAGATAAATTTGGATTTAAACTGATGGTACTTAGAATCATTCATTGAATTCCACCATCATACCAACTTTATACCAACTAGCATAAAGATAGTATAAACTTTCCCCTATAAAGTCAGTGTAGGAGATGGAAATCAGCCAAAGCCAAACAGTTTGTGGAATATTGGGTTAGATTTTGTTGAATTGAGTTGTATAAATCCACAAAGAGCACTAAATCAGGGCAGCAGTAGCACAGGTCAGACTTGTTATTCTTTCGTTACAACTAACCTTAGGGTTCCCCCACCTCCTGATTGTACTTATTTCTGTTTAGATGTGGATGCACAGTAAAAAAAAAAAAACAACTTTGTGTTCCCATGTACTAATATTATTATATTACTATAGCAAGAGGTTCAGTTAGATTTGCACAAAAATGGCTGGTGGAAATGTCCTTCAAATAGCTACTTTTTACTTTCTTACGTTCTTTACTTTTACTTGAGTAAAGAAGTTGAATCGGAACGTCAAATTCAGAACTCAAAGCCAGCCATCCATCTAAGTAACACCACCTCAGCTGCTGACCTCCTCCCTCCATCGGAGTGTCCATTTTGGTTTCTGTAATGCTTTAATTAACAAATGATTGCATGGCATGTTCTGTACTTGATTTTTTTAAAAAAGGGAAAGGCATTAAAATTATTTGTGTGGTGATTTCATAATTATTATTTGGGATGTTGGAAGACTTCTCTGCTTGGTTGCAAACCTGCCTAAATTCATATTAGTTATTAGTTCCATTATAACCATCAATTTAGGTTCTTCTGATATGGTATATTATGTACTACAATGTCATGTACAAGCATTTACTGTATGAAGCTTTCTTTTTTCTAGTCTTGTCAGCCACTCAAAACCCTTTAGACATTATAAAAAAGAAACAAGTGGTTAGGGCTTTTTTAGAACCACTAAAAATCAGAGGACTGTGTTATTATTGAAACCTGATTACTAGAAACAAAGATTATATTAGTTTAAAAAGAAAAATACTTCAACACATCCTTCTTCCTTTTCAATTATCCAAATTTGTATTTCCATTAGGAAAATTTACTGGCAATTACAAAAGCCCCCCCCAAAATATTACATTTTCTAATAACACTGATGAGTATTATAAAATATAAGATTTCATTGAAGAAACTTTTAAATATTTTATAGGTACGGTAATTCATGTAGAAAAACAATTGATGCATTAATAGTTTTATTAAGATGAAGAGAGTAAAAGTCTACATTCTGGGGAAACCAGAGTATCTCATCCTAAATAACATACAGTTACTATGTAATTATATGAAAGATAAAACTGGGGCCATGTGTGGCCATCAGTATGATTGGGAAAAATCAAGAAAACAAGTGACATTCAGAATAATCATAACATTATTCAAAACAAATATATTGTCATAGCTTTTATATTCCCCATACTTGTCATCAATGGGACAGTTCCAAAGCACAAAAAAAAAAACAAACCATCATAATGTCTGTTGAAAACTTTATCACAGTCACAGTTGTTATCTTTTGGCATTTTTGGTGTAATTGTTGTTGTAGTTTTACAATGCTGTCATTGAATCACCGTTGTAATATAAAACTGACAATATATATGCATAACAAAAATCCCCAAATAACAAGTTATGGATATATGGATATATATTTCTGTTCATATTATTGCACACTATTACATTTATTCAAGACATTTGCATGATAAGTTTAACAAAAGATAAATATATTTGTTAACTATAAGTAAATATTAAATGTATATTACACTTTATAACTCACTTGGAAAAGGGTAATTGTGTGTTAAATAGTTATCCATCCTCAGGTTTACCCAGACCCCTTTTCTTACATCTGAAACAAATAAAATTTAAATCCCAACTAAACAAGAAGAACAGAAGTAAACATTGACAATAAAAAAAAAAAACATCCTTTCACAGTTTAAGTGGTTTTCATAGGGTTCCATCTGTGATTTTCCTGTTTAATAATAGATGATAAAGACAAAGAGTCCCAGTACAAGAGGGATTACATTCATTCTAACAGAAGATGCGTTACTTGTTGTTGTCGTGGATTTTTTAGTTGTTGAAGAAATTGTAGTGGTTATTGCGGAAGTGGTTGTTGTCACAGCTGTTGTTTTGGTTGTTGACGCAGTGCTTGGATTTGGAGTAGCTGTTGTTGTTGTTGATGATGCTGTTGAAACAGGTATTGTGGTATGAGCAACAGCTGATGTTAGAGGTGATTTTATGGTTGGTGAGGCTGTTGATGTTGTTGGAGCATCTGGGCTTGTTGTTGGGGTAGCTGTGGTTGTGGTTGAAGCAGCTGTTGTCATTGTTGGTGCAGCAGTTGTTGTGGTTGCAGATGCGGTGGCTGTGGCTGTGGTCACAGCAGATACTGCTGTTGTTGGAGCAGCTGTTGTCGATGGTGGAGCAGGAGTTGTTGTGGTTGGTGCCACAGTGGTTGTGGTTGGAGCAGGAGTTGTTGTGGTTGGTGCAGCTGTTGTTGTAGTTGGTGCAGTGTTTGCTGTGGTTGGAGCAGCAGTTGTTGTTGTTGGTGGAGCTACTGTCGTTGGAGCAGCTGTTGTTGTGGATAGTGCCACAGTGGATGTGGTTGGTGCTGCTGTTGTGGTGGGTGATGCAGCTGTGG